CATGACACCTTAGGGCCGACTAAGTCTCCGGATTTGAAGCGCCCTTCGTGCATATCACGATTGGCCAAACCAAGTATCCGGATTCGAAGCCCTCTTTGGTGCAGGACACCTTAGGGCCGATGCAATCTCCCTTGATTAAGTTGCTTAACATGTTGCATGCCTTACATGCTTGCTTGTTTAGATTACATCTTGCATGATTGGTCATTAGCATAGTGGTCCATGCCTTGCATGCTTATTTGCATAGGTTGTGTACCTAGCATACATTGTTTGCTTGCATGCTCTTATTGCACATTTAGCTAGCATGCTTAGGTTGCATTGCATTGAGCATGCATTCTTTGCCTCTTGAATTGAGTATGATAGAGGTTGGGCTTTATGTGTTTATTTGGTTTGCATGTCATTTGAAATCAAAATGCACCCTTGGTTTCTTGGGCCATCACGCATTGAAATGCGCAATTGGTGGTTCGAGAATCGAATACCATCCTCCTTTGAGTCATAAACATGATAAGGGGTGTATTGGTGTACACATTTGCTTGAAATGCATTGCCATGCCTTGTTTTGCCCTCTGCTGCTGTCAAAACAGGTTCTGCAGGAAGCTTTGACCGGTCGACTACATTAAGTGCCGATCGACCAATTATGGATAGCCGATAGCTCCATAGATGGTCGATGACCACTTCCCTTTGGCCGGTGACCATTACTCATGGCCGGTGTCATTCCCCAGTGTTCATGAGGTGTACCTTGGGAATTATGCCATTTTTAGAGGAGCAGAGTAGGGAAAACAGAGGCAGCTTGCGCATGGCATTGGATTTCCGAGCGAAGCCAATCCGAGCACGTGTGCATCCCTCTTCCCGAGGCCTTTTAATGCTTTCCTTAGCCTGATTGATTTGTTAATTAATTAGATGGTCTGTAAATTATTTAATTAGCTTGTAGGTTAATTAAAGTGTATTATTCTTTTGGTCCCTCCGAGCGAGGACGAATTTGTAATAAGTGTGGGTGCGTGTGTGCATGTCTTCCAACCCCCACTTCTTTCTCCCTTTTTACTTACCTGCTTTGATGGTTAGTATTAGGGCATGTTTAATTTAGCATCCTTATGCTATGCATGCGTGCCTCCATTCATTTGTATTGCATGCACCAGGCTCGGCGCATCATACTAACTGCCTAGTATTTCAAATCTAACTTGAATACGTGTTACTTGTTGCATTCCACATGCCACTCTTAGATTAGCCGAGCCTATTCTAGATTGCATTTTGTATGTGATGCATTAGCCATTTAACATGGACTTGGATCATACATTTGATTACTAACATGTTCATTGTTTTGGCTTGGAGTACACTGTAAGTGTTTTATGCTTTAGCATCTCGCATGAGTGTGAATGCTAAACATGATAGCATGCTTACCATGAGGTTATGTGCTTATGTTTTATAACTGCCTGAATGCCTGTGGGTGAAAGTTAGGTTATTTGAGTTGGAATAATTTGTCGAAACCCGTGTTTTAGCCTACTTGCGAGTAGTAAATTTCAATCCATTTTCAAAACAAATGGATATGCGATGTTTTGTTCTAATTCAGGGAATTCAGTCTATACTTGTATGCTGTGCGCATCACGTAGTAAATCTAGGCTAATAACCGGAATAAGAACACATATGTTTTCAAGACTAGATATCATGGTTAGTAGAGGCCGATCTTTGATCGGGCGAGCGGGGGTGCTCACGAAGTGACCTTCCCCAATCGTACCCAAGTTTCCGAGTTGAGACAACTTTGGTGATGACGGACACGTGGCCTTAGGCACGAGTCAGGGTTTCCTAAATTTTCCCAAAATAAATATTTAGGTGGCGACTCTGTATCTGGCAAAGCAGTCCATGTTTGGCACTTCTTTACAAAAAACCTATTTTCCAAAAACGATTTGCCAGACTTGGACTCTTTGATGATTCATCGGTCTTGCATTGCACTCTGCGAGAATAGATACAGGACCGTGACATTGAGTCTGAACTGTAGTGAGCCCAAATGAACAGAACGGGATTTCCCTCTCGGGACGTTCGGGGACGTCTACAAACCCGAGGACATGGTCTGATTTAGTGTCCGATGTTATCTCTGAACGAGTACGTGACAAGCTGCTCACACGACCCTCCGATGTTGTTTATGCCTTGAAGAAAGATTATGGATTAGAGATAAGCTACCGAGTAGCATGGTTGGGAGTTGAGAAAGCAAGGGGAGAGATGTTCAGTGCACATTCCATTTCGTTTAATCAATTACGGTGGTATAGTAATTCTGTTATGGAAAACAATCCGGCCAGTTACATTAACATTGACTATGATGACCAAAATCATCGGTTTGTACGATATTTTATATCATTCAAAGCATGCATCGATGGTTTCAATTATTGTCACCTTTTACTATTCCTGGACGGTACCTTCTTGAAGAGGAAATTCAAAGAAAACTTGCTAGCTACTACTGCAAAGGATGGCAATCAAGGGTATGCTCATTCGTAACACACACACTGTTAATGGCATAATTTGTTTTTTTTTTTAAACTTAATGATGTTTACGTCCTACTCATTTACTGAACCCACTATTAATTTTGCACACAAGTTTATTCCCATTGGCAATTGCAATTGTCGACTCAGAGAACACAACTAATTGGGCTTGGTTTTTGGAACACCTCGCGAACGTAGTCAAAACGAATAGGACGATCACATTTATTTCAGATCGACACACAGGGTATACTCGAATCTATTCCGATCACATTTCCATCTGCCCACCACGCGTTTTGCTTGCAACATTTGTAACGGAACTTGCAAGACAAGATGCGATACACGAACAAGATGCACCATGTTGGCTTGCTGAGCAAATTTCATGAATGCGCTTACGCACCGACCGTAACAACATTCAATTCCAGCTTAGAAAGGTTTAAGACATCGGGCCGACAAGTGGCAATGGGCTTTCTGAAAGATTTACCTCCGGCGTATTGGGCAAATGCCTACTTTCGATAGACACCCGATCATGAATAGATTGCACCAAATTAATTTCGTACATTGTTCGGCTTAATGCATTTTTCCTTTATAATTAAATGAAACTATTTTTTACATTTTCATCTTTGTGTGTGTAGGGGTGACCGGTATGGCGAGATGTGTTCCAATGCCTCTGAGCCATTCAACTCATGGATCTGTGAGGCACGACACCTCCCAATCACAAAGTTGGTTGATAGCATTAGAACAAAAATTATGTACCAAATGTCAAAACGCCAACGTAAGGCAGCCGCGTGGCCTAGAGTTCTTTGCCCAAAAATCGAGTCCCGATTGGTAAAAGCATAAAACAAAGGCAGCGCGTGGCTTGTAAGCCAATCAAATGAGGATGTGTACGAGGTCTATTCATACCCATCAGTACTTGTGGATGTTGGCAGGCGGACGCATTCATGCTTTCAATGGCAGATTAAACGACTTCCACGTGCACAAGCGATGGTTGCAATCTGTAACAGCGAAGGAGATTTGTATGACTTGGTTGAACCATATTACCATGTGTCCAAATGTCATTCCACATACGCTTCAAGTATAACTCCAATAGCAACTGTTTAGAAACCACCGTTCAATAGGGCTGGGCATAGGGTTATCCGAACCGCCCAAATCGCCTTACCCGAACCGAACCGCACGCGTGTGGGCGGTTTCGCAAACACATTAGGGTAGGGTGCGGGTTGAATTTTCTACAAATTTCGGGTTACGGGTTTGACCCGCACCCGCCCAATCCGCCTGCATTAAATTAAATTTTTTTTCCCCTCGCAACCCGCCCAATCCGCCCGCATTAAATTAAATTTTTTTCCCCCTCTTTCAAATCTAGCCGTCCATCTTCTCCTTCACCTCATTTATTACAACAAACAAAACAAAAAACCCTACATTTGCCTCCCTCACTCTCTCAGTCTCATCTCAAAACTCATCACTGTCTCTTTCTCTCTCACTCTCTCGTTTCGTTATTCTGCTGCCCCGATCACTCTCTCTCACTCTCTCGTTGTTCATCTCATCGCACCGCCGATCTACTCATAGGTAAACTCTCTCTCTCTCAATCTCTCTCTCTCACCCCGATCGTTGATTTTTTTTTGTTTATATATATATATACATATATATATATCAGATATCATACATATCTCTCTGATCTAATCAGGTCCACAGTTTGGTTTTGCATCTCTGCACCGATCGACTCATAGGTAAGCCTCTCTCTCTCTCTCCCTGATCTCTCATCTCTCACCGCCGATCTACTCATAGGTAAACTCTCTCTCTCTCAATCTCTCTCTCTCACCCCGATCGTTGATTTTTTTTTGTTTATATATATATATACATATATATATATCAGATATCATACATATCTCTCTGATCTGATCAGGTCCACAGTTTGGTTTTGCATCTCTGCACCGATCGACTCATAGGTAAGCCTCTCTCTCTCTCTCTCTCTCTCCCTGATCTCTCATCTCTGCACCGATCGAAGCTGAGTGTTTAAATCTGATTTTTTTTTGTTGGACCAACAGATATGTTCTTTTTGTTTTGGAATCTGTGTGTTTGTTTTGTTTTGGAATCTGATCTGTTCTGTTAAATATGTGTTGAATCTGTGTTAAAGTAGTATCCAGAACAGAATTGATAAATGCTGACTGACTAAAACTAGTCTCAGAGTTGGGCAACTTGGTAAGCAAATAAATTTTCTTTTATGAAAACAGTGTAAATATTAGATAAAAATGTTGTAATATGAACAAAAGACATTAAACTACTTCAAGATTCTTGAGCTGTGTGTTATTTAATTCTGAAATTGAATCTGAAATTGAATGTATGTTATTTAATTCTGATCTGTATGTTATTTAATTCTGAAATTGAATCTGTGTCTGTTTACATTCAAACCTGTATGTTATTTAATTCTGAAAATGAATCTGTGTCTGTTTACATTCAAACTGAATCTGTGTCTGTTTACATTCAAACTGAGTCTGTTTAATTGAATCTTTATTTTTTTAATTTGTTTAATTTTTAATTTTTAATTTTTAAATCTGTTCATAAATCTGTTTAATTTTTAATTTTTTTTTAATCAGTTCATAAATCTGAGTCTTTTCACCACGAGCAAGATTCAGTTCTGTGGTCAGAAAAACTGAGACCTTGTGCTGAAGCTCTATATATTGTTTTGTTTGAAAATCATAGTCAGGTAGGTGTAGTCCATTCTTGGTATTAAACTCTTCCACAATTTTCAGTAGTTGAAATAAATGCACAAGATGTGTTGGATAGATTTGGTATGCCTATTTGATTTTCATTGTATCCTTTAGCTGCTAGGTCCAGTTGTGGTTTCCATTCTTCAAGAGGCAATGAATGGTTGCCCGACTTCAGTCACTGAAATCACTCCAGGATTACTTCTCAAAGATGCTACTTATGGTGCTGCTGCCTATGTTTATTACAAGCTGTCAAATTATCTGAGCTTCAAAGAATGGTGTGTGCTTTTCTGTGTTTCCGTATCCGGTTCTTCTGCATTTGTTTGTCTAATGCAGCTCGGTAATTACCTATTGCTTGGCATTTAAATGGTTATGACTTACAAGAACAACTTGTAATTGGCAAATTTATTTATTTTTATTTTTGGTTATTTAAGCTGCATATGCTCTATTTTCCATAATTCTCAAACAACTTTAAATTAGGGGCATCACCTAGGATTTTGTTTTCATGGTTTTAAGTGTAAATTATCTACATCCTTTGCATCTGTTGGAAACTATATTCATATTTATTGTGCCTCAAACCTGTCTGAGTGTTAAAATATTGTCAATTCTCTATTGAGCCAGAGTTTTCTAATTTTACATGACACAAACATTGACTTTGGAATCACCTTACTTCAATCCTATTTGAATTAAAAGGACACCAAGGGGGTGTAACTCCTGGACATGAACAAAATTAAAATAGGGGAGGTAATTACAAAAATACAAAACTTTATCTTTTTAGAAAAAAAAGGGTTTAAAAATAATTTTTGAAAAAAAGTTCAATCTGCAAACCGCCCGCAACCGCCCGCACACCCACGAACCCTATCCGCATAAACCGCAAACCGCATCGTGGGCGGTTGCGGGTTGACTTTTCCCCAAACCGCATAGATGCGGACGGGTCCAAACCGAACTGCAAACCGTCCCAAACCGAACCGCGGACACCCCTACTTGTGGGTTAGAAATCCCATTTTTCTTATATAATACTAGCATATCACTCGTACTATGCACGAGATAATTATAGATATTTATATTTGTTTTAGATTTTTTTTAATATATAAATTATGTTTTTAAGATTTTTTATAAAAATCGGGGGGAGGAAACACAACAAATTCGATGCGGACAGTGTCAACGCATAGGGCACCATAACAGGAAGACATGTAAAGAACCAATTTAGCCGTCACTGCATGCAACATCATGTTTACTGTTTTCGTTCATAAGTTTTTCATTGTGATCTTCTTTTTCCCTTTTTAAATAAGTGTGTATGAACACACCGGACATACCATACTATTATCATTTTCGTTACTATGTTGTCTTCATTATGTATTTCAACCAAATAATTTGGGTCAGACACAATCCCAAACGTAACAGTGTACCCAACTATTTTCCTACTACTGTGTTGTTTAACATTTTTTTTAAAAAATTTCCAAACAGTATTACGTATCGTTTTCTTTTCCAGAACATGGTATGTTAACAACGTCACACATGCATCATGACACGCATTCATCAATCTGTAATACACACTTTAAAAGCTATAACACCACAATCACCTTCTCACTTTCTCAATGCACGATCGTCACAATCCGTAACATACCATACATAACACACAACATGGTTCACCCATACTCCAGCATAAACATTTTACCTAACCACCCTATACATGGAACAACATCTACCTACAAAATTTTGGTTTGCCACACAGACTTCTGTTGTTCAACATAACAAACCACATTACTATGCTTTATACAAACCCATTGTCAAACATGGTCACTAGCCAATATCATGTACATTTCATTCACAACTACATTTTTCCAATACCAAGCTTATATAAACAGAGTGCCCATGCAAGTATCGCAAGTCACAAAAAAAAAAAAAACAACACATTTAACGTAACCTCACATCGTATTTACTACAAAATTAATATTGTTAACGTACGTTCACAAAAACAAAAAATCCATGCATATACCTCTTGCTAATAAAAAATATATAATTGTACGAAATTGTTTTCATATGTGCTTACAAATAAACATTCAGGTGGAATGTTTAAGACCCTTGATAATGTCGTTCACAAATCCCTTAACCATGTTTGCTCTCAACACGATGTCGTTGGTACCTTATAATGAACGCCCTACATCAACATGGTGTACGTACTGACACATCACCGCGCAACAATAACCGCACAATCCAGCCTGCATTGGGAAAACCCAAAAAATAAGTGTTCAATTACATTGCACAATCACTTTCGTAAACAATGAAAAAACATTACGGTTCCAACACCGGTTCACTTATGAGTCGGGTTTCTACTGTGGGTAGTCTTCAACAGACTCTAGGGAATGGTTGAACGTTTTAGTGATGCTAACCTCATCTATTCCATCTGCTCGTAATGACCGCTTCATTACAATTGACACATGTTCCTTCTATCACACACAATAACCACCGAATTAAATTCAAGCTCACAATACATCCATGACCTGATTAAAACAACAATTACATGTGTTCCTTACCAGGACAAGTGCTTCACTGTAGTACACGTCTGACCTGCCAGATGAAAGTTGCCTCATTGGATTAAAATATTTCCAACTTCCATCCTCTGTGTCGTACACCACCAGCGTCCAGTGTACTTGGTTGCATATCGGGAAATGAATATAACGACAATCTTTTGACGATGCAAAATTCTTTAGCACATAACTTTCCATTGTTTGCGTGCTGCAGGCTTTGATAACGTTCTACAAAATAAACATTTTATATCAGTACATAATCCACCGGTCACCATACAACCATTAAACAACACTTTCTCACTATGCAAATACTGTTGAAGAAGTAAGCTTTGTCCGATAAAGCATCACCTGCACAGACATGTGCCTGCTCTGTCACCAATGTCTCAGCATATGCATCAATCACTTGCATTGAGACACAAAAACATTAAACACGGAAATCAACCATATCAATTACATACGGCGACACACATTTCACAATTCCATGTAACACAACACAGCGCATGCGACACTAACGTAATAACATAACTCACATTGCCACGGATACTTTCTCTACATACAAGATTCTTGACGTCGGTAAAATAAACTGTCACACCACTTTCAACACTAGCCCACATGACAGCCCTATACATAAAACAAACATAGCATCACATCATCTCACCAAAACACATTACACATACGGAGGGAAATTACATAAATATCCGCACATACCCATCGCCATTCCGTTCGTAAGCCTTTGTTATTTTCTCATTCTCCTCAAACATCATTAGTTTCCACACCCCAAACCGATTGTTCAACTCAAACCCAGACCATTTAGTGGCAAGCACACCAACTGTGTCCACATTTACAACTGTGTCATTTACAGTGCCTTTCTCCACCTCCCCACCCTTGCACCCGTGTATGACTGTTTTCTTTTTGTGCTCACCGCCTACCTGGTAGTCATAATTTTTTAGCCTTAATTATTTCCTAACTTTGTTCTTAATGTTACGCACGAACGAATTTCTCACACCTTCCCCTATATTTGGAAACACCACCACTTCAAGGTCCGACAGATTGACCTCACCCACACTCTGTTGTGGCGCCGAACTAGAATCAAACACTGTGTGCACAGTAACATTTTGACCACTAACACCCAAATTTACACCAACTTGAATAGGCGTAACATTATGCACCACTGTCACATCGAACCCACTTCCTCCTTGGCAATGGCTTGCACCAACGTCCCCAAAGTCATTTTTGCAATAAGTTTACGTGACATAGCGTACTTACTGGTCAGCCAGTTGGTCTTCCAACATTGAAATTGTTTAGCGTAATTCCTTGTTCTCATTTTCAAGTTTTCGTATCTCGTCATCGTTGACCTTCACGACACACCCGAACCCATCGACAATGTTCAGGGCTTGCATTCCCATTTTACTCTTCAAACTAACTACTTCATCCTCCAGCTTTGATATTGTCCCCTCGTTTGTTTTGTTCCGCACTTCCATGTCTACCATAGACTTCAAAGCTTTTTCAAAGTCGGTTAAACCAGCCACGTCACTCCCTACATCACGCACCGTGCTGTGCACGTCTTTCGCTTTCACTCCCATGTCATCCCCAACCTCATGCGCCACACGCACCATCACATCACCACAACCAACAACCACATCCGTTACTCCATCATCACGATGCCAACTTCATGCTCGTCTATTACCAAAATGTCACATTCATACTCCAAAGACCTTATTCTGTCAGTTCATACCTGCCCATCACATAAACAAAACACAACACAAACATCACAACATTCAAACACCCTCATCAAATAACAATTGTGAACAAATATTACACATCATTATAGAGGTCATATACTTGGAATTTGCCAGGTGCTGAGAAATCCAAACCCCGTATCTGGGTAACTAAGGCACCAATGTCCCATCTTATAAATCTTAAGAACATATTCTCCATTTCAGGTTTCACCAGCGTTGAATGTTCACAAATCCAATACTATGTTCCAAGTAAAAAATTCTTTAAAACCAACCATTATTACAACAACATATATAAGCGTAAAACAATTAATAAATTTGCAAAACAAACTAAAAATTACATACCAGCAACGCAACAACACAACCAGTGACCTTCTCCGGCGCATGATGGAAATATTTGATTAAACCTATCAACATTTGCAGTATTGCACCAGTCCAATCGTATGTACGTACGGTTTTTAGGTCATCAATGTATCACACAAATGCCCAGCTTATTGTCTCCCTAGAATTAGCAAAAAACATCTTCCCACACATATAAAGTGTCAACAACTTTGCTGCGTCTTCCTCGTCAACCATTCTTCACCCGGCCACGGCTTCTTTGAACAATTTCTTCACGAGCTTCAATGTTATCCTTACAGTGTTATGACTTCTCCGCTGAATGAAATCCGATGTCGGCCTTTGACAAGGAGACAGATCAATATGCTTAGTACCACATTGAATCCCAAACAGAAGTCTAATATCACTTCTACATAGCTTCACAAAATTTCCACCATTGTTGAATGCGTCACAATGTGCATTGTATGCCCGTATTATTTTCAAAATCGCCTCATCAAACTTTCTTAATTCATTGTGATTCAGCTTATTAATTCAGATAGCCTCAATTATGATCTAAAATGGAGTCCTCTTCAACTGTTCAAAGTGACCAGCCCTCAAAGAAGATGTTGTTACAAGCTTCACGATGCCCGCAATGTTTGAGCGGAAGTTAATCCTTGTGGGCGCAGTGAGTGACGGCCCTGCAGCTGGTTTATTAACTTGTTCATAAGCTTGCTGGTGGGTTGTTTTCGATTGCTTGAACAATATGCGGCCCTGTATGTTAACACCTAATTTGTTCAATTTTGCCGTACATGCACCTTTAACACGTTTCAGTTCACATGAACGCGTCCACGGACTTCTGCTATCATCACCATCTACATTTTCACAAAAAACAAATTAATTAC